AGATGCTTTGAGAAACCCAGACTTTATTGTTTTAAAAAATTGGAATATTCATATAACACTACTTAGGAAAAATTGTAAGTGACTTGTAGGACCAAAACTATTTAGAGAGTAGGCTGAAGGACCAGTGTCTCTTCATCTCTCACTTTCTGAGTCTCAGCCAAAGCCACTGAGGAGAGGGGAGCTGCAGTGCAAATGTTCCCAGGCACTCAGCTAGGGGCTTTAATAACAGGGAATGGGAGGAGAAAGACCACTTTCTATTATTAATGTTTTCAAGCTCACTTTTTAAACCCAGAATATATTGCTTACGGGAAATTTTCTTTCCTGTAGAAAACAGTACATTTTCTCAAAGTCTGTTGATCCTTTCTGTATGAACCTCTTTTGAAGCAGACAAATGTGATGGTGTTCACACTACTACAACTGGGTTTCAAGGTGTCTTTTATGTTCTAAATCAAAATTCAGTGAGATTTAACAGTCTGTGAATGTCTGCAAATCAAGCAAGCTAAGGTCAGCTTTCTGGGACTGCGGCTAGTCCTTTGAATAGGGAAAGAAATAAAATATTAAAAGCCACAAATAAATGGAATGAAGAAATTCCATATGGCTGTGAAGGGTGGCTTGCTTTCCTAACATCTTCCTTGTTTAATCATTAAAGGAGGTCATATCTATTCTGATAAAGGAACTCCTGAGAAAGTATGATAAATGGAAAAGATCCAAATATGAACAGAAATCCAGTTAAGCTCTTCAAAATTTGTGTGACTAATGTAACTACTTGATCTGGCTTTTAAAATAACTCATTTCAGAGTGAAATGGTCACAACAACCCTGTGAACTATATATAGAAAGAGATGCTTAGTTCTGACTTATGAGAAACAAGGCTTCTGCAAAGGATTGGACTGGGGAGAGAAAATCTGCAGTACTGGTTGGTGTGGACTAACTGCACTCATCAGAAAGATGCATCTTCAGGACAAGTCCTGGCTGATGATGTGCAGTAAGGACCTGCATACCCAAGCAAAGCCACCTAAGTCCCATGTGATGGGGAATGGGAAGGCCTCTGTGGAGAGGCTGGTGGGGACCCCTCACCCTCATGTGAAGGGATCCTCATAGAATCATAGAATAGTTAGGGTTGGAAAGGACCTTAAGATCATCTAGTTCAATCCCCCTGCCATGGGCAGGAACACCTCACACTAAACCGTATCACCCAAGGCTCTGTCCAACCTGGCCTTGAACACTGCCAGGGATGGAGCATTCACAACTTCCCTGGGCAACCCATTCCAGTGCCTCACCACCCTTACAGTAAAGAACTTCTTCCTTATATCCAATCTAAACTTCCCCTGTTTAAGTTTGAACCCGTTACCCCTTGTCCTGTCACTACAGTCTCTAATGAAGAGTCCCTCCCCAGCATCCTTACAGGCCCCCTTCAGATACTGGAAGGCTGCTATGAGGTCTCCACGCAGCCTTCTCCTCTCCAGGCTGAACAGCCCCAACTTTCTCAGCCTATCTTCATATGGGAGGTGCTCCAGGCCCCTGATCATCCTTGTGGCCCTCCTGTAGACTTGTTCCAACAGTTCCATGTCCTTTTTATATTGAGGACACCAGAACTGCAACAATACTCCAGATGAGGTCTCACAAGAGCAGAGTAGAGGGGCAGGATCACCTCCTTCAACCTGCTGGTCACACTCCTTTTGATGCAGCCCAGGATACGGTTGGCTTTCTGGGCTGCAAGTGCACACTGCCTGCTCATGTTCATTTTCTCATCGACCAACACACCTAAGTCCTTCCCTGCAGGGCTGCTCTGAATCTCTTCTCTGCCCAACCTGTAGCTGTGCCTGGGATTGCTCCGACCCAGGTGTAGAACCTTGCACTTGTTGTGGCTAAACTTCATAAGGTTGGCATCAGCCCACCTTACAAGCGTGCCAAGTTCCCTCTGTATGGCATTCCTTCCCTCCAGCATACCAACTGCATTTTTGCCGTTTGCTCATTACCCTTCAAAACAACTGTAGGGCTAAATAGGAAAGTGCATGTACCAGGAGGCTGTGGCAGTCTAGTTCCCCTGCCAAACCAGGCAAAGGAAATTAAGCAGCATACATGGTAGCATCCTGCTGAGATGAGTTTCCCTGTCCAAAACTCATATGTACCTTGAGACTTCTCCTACCTAGCATGCCTGCTCCTACTTGCTGCTCTGCCAAAAACTTGTCCTAGGTTACATCACTAGTTCACGACTGGCTCAGAGCCATGGGAATCCCTGAATTGCCTAGATAAAGCTACTCCCTTTCTGATGCCATAAGGTATCTGATGCCATAGGGGTTTTCTGGTGCTGACTACAGACACACCCTTAATGATGCCCAGTTTGTCTTTACCAAGACATCTTAGTGGCATCATCCCACTTCAGAGAGGAAATTCCACCTTGCTGTGATTACCTAGGACATCCTGCTGATACTCACAACCCTTCTGATCTTTGTTAACTGACACAGGTCTTTGGTTCAGGATGTTTTGCCACACAGCTACAAATCTGTCCTCAGCATTGTTAACAAGAGGCCTTTCATTTGGATATGCATTTACTTATGGTGCTCTGTACCCACAGAGGGCTTTTGACTACCTCATTAAGTAGATCTGAACAAGAAAAGCCTGAGAGGCAGACAGCTCCTCTGTGTGAGCCAGCAGGTACTCACCACACTTGTAGAAGACTTCACCCCCAGAACATTACAGCAGATCTCCATGACTACCAAAAGTGTCATGAATCACTTGATCTCTGCATGTACTTCTATGATTTCACCCTGAGAAAGTCTCACCTACACGTGGCACAACCCTCGCAAAGCGTAAAGGCTGACTGGCCATTAGCAAGATTTCATCTTGCAAACCAGGAAGCTTAAATTTTGCAAAACGGATGCTTGAGATGTTACACATTTGTACCCATCCACAACATTTAAGCAGTTACTCCTCCAGCTGCTCCAATTCACAGTAAGGACCTGCTTCCTTGTTTCAAACTGAGCCATTTAGTCCAATGCTCTGGACATGAGAATCAGGCCCCTCTTGCACACCCATGGGGTTTTCACTGTTTTACAGGCACATTAAGACTTGAAAGGATTTCCTTGAAGGTCTGACCCCCTGTTACTGCAGGCAGCATGTTTATGAGCCTGCAAGTGTGGTAGTGGAAGATATCCATTTGTTTTGGTCTTATAAACCTTAAGAACTACAGGTGAGATTTGCTCTTGCCAAAATAAACTGAACTTCGGCAGCTGGTGGGTTGTGAGATGGCTGGGACCAGGATTTGCCCAAACTTGTGGCCTCAGAAATTGCCCACACTTTCTCCCTCTGGTTTCTAGACAGAAACACAATTTACAAGCTTCAAAGCTGTGAAGTAAGGTAGGCAAGGCATTCAGCTACAGGAATGCAAGATACTGAAAACCACATCATTTCAGAGGGTTTCCACCAACACAAGAAAATGCCTTAAAATCTTTCTAAAATGTTGATGCCTGCAGGCAAAGAAACTAGGCCATGTGACTCAAAACTTGTGACAGCTGCTTCAAGAGCATTTGAAAATACAGTGGCTAATTTTCTTGGAAAACCAAGGCCCTGGCTACAGGTACAAGATGATCCAGGATGTACATTCAGCTTCCAATACAAAGAAATCTGGGAACTGCTCCAGGAAATCAGTATCTGCAGGCCAGTCACTGCAGATAAATTGTAACTCACAAAATGTGGCACCTTCCCATCAGGCAGACCTCACTTACTACAGGTTTTGACACTTTGACTTTACCTCTAAAGCCCAAATCATGCAAGTTACTTATCCTTGCAGCCTGGATCAGTCACAGACCACTAACCATAACTGCTCTGTGAAGGCGCATTCTTGCACGCCTGTGTACTTCTGGAAGGGAATCATGGAAATCTAAGCTGCAGGATCTGGGTCATAAGGAAAAAAAGTTAATTTATGTGCAAGAAAAAGGTTGCCAGGCTTGGAGTAACTGCTCAGGCTGGGAGCTGGTGCACTGTTCTTATAACAGGTTGTACTTTCTATTCTCAAGTTGGATAAACTGGTAGGTACCAACGCGACCACCAGTTTTGCAGCTGGTTGGCAGCATCTCACCTCCACGGGTGTAGGAATCCTGTGAATATTCGTTACCAGTGTTCCGCAGTGCCTCTCACCGAGCCCGGGCTCCGACAGAAGCTGAAGCTGCTGCCCTTCCACAACGCCTCCCTCGAGGCAGGGTGGCTTCCAGCTCCGCTTCAGCCCAGTTTGACAGCCTTCACCTAACTCCTATGTATTCTAAAGGTTCATCCCTGCTCCCCATCACCCACGGAGCTACCCCTACCAGTAACTACCTGAGATGAAAAATCTCAGCTCAGGGTTGCAATATTGTAAGGCTTTGTGCTTCCTAACCCGCCCCCCAAACACGAGACTACTTTTTTTTTTGACACACACCCTCCCACCCTTTTATTCCTGCACCGCCAGGTGACATTTCCCAACAGTTCCCCGCTCGGGACATCCACACGGCCAGGGATGCCGAGCTGGAGCCCAGCCCTCACCGCACGGGCCGGCACCGGGACTCCTGCGAGAAGTGCGCACAGAGACCGCGGCACCAGCGGGTCCCGCTCGCCCGCGCTCCAAACCCGCCGCCCTACCTCCCGCGGCAGCGCTTCCCGGGGCGACCACCCACCCCGCCCCGCCCCGCCCGCTGGGGGTGCCCGGTTCCAGCTCCGGTTCCCAGAGCGGGGAGCGCTCTGCCCCCTCCCGGGAGGCGCTGCGCCTGCCGCCCCTTGCCACCGGCGGCGACTCCGCCGTGTGCTGGTGGGAGCGGGGCTTTCCCCCTCCCGATAAGCCCCTCCCGCTCCCCCCGTCTGGCTCAGCCCCAGCCCTCCCCAGCGCGCTCCGCTTCCCGCTGCCGCCAGCGCCCGCGCCTGCTCCGGGAGGAAGCGGGGCGGCGGCGGCAGGCCGAGCGGGACACGCCTTTCGCCCTCCCCGTCCCGGCCCTCCGGGCCCTGCCGCCCACCGCGGGCGCGGCGCAGCGCAGCGCGGCCGCGACGGCCCCGCCATGAGCCGGAGGTAGCGGCGGCTGCGCTTTCCGCAGCCGCCGCCGCCGGCCTCGCCGCGGCGGCGGCCGGGCCCGCGATGCCGAACCAGAAGGGCGGCAAGGGCAAGAAGAACAAGCGCGCCAACAGCAGCGGCGACGAGCAGGAGAACGGGGCGGCGGCGGGCGGCGGAGCAGCGGCGGCAGCAGGCAGCGGTGCCGCGGCTGGCGGCGGAGCTGGGGCGGCGGCGGCTGGCGGCGGCAGCGGGGCGGGCGGCGGAGCGGGCGGCCCGGCGGCGGCGGGCGGCGCGGCGCCCGGAGACGTCAAGAGCGGTGAGCGGCGGCCCGGGCCCCGCGGCCTCCCGGGGCCCGCCGTGGCGCAGTCGGCGGCCGGGCACCCGAAGAGCGGGGACGCGAAGGCATACGCAGGGGGAAGCCGTGGCGGGGCCGGAGAGGGGGGGGAACGGGACAGGCGGGCGCCGCCCGCGGCCCTGTGGCGCTGCGCCTGCTGCCGGGATGTCCCCGAAGTGCGCGGCGGGGCGGGGGGCTGCTCGCTGGGGCGTCCCCGCCCGCTGACCCGCCGGAGGGCGGGTGCCTCCGCGGCGGCGGTGCTGGAAGCGGGAGGCAGCCGTATTTGCGGGCAGGCGGGGGGCGGACCAGGGTGCGCTGCCGGGGACGGAGCTCACCCCCGGCAGCGCCTCGGCTAACTCTGGGCTCGGGGGCAAAATCCCGACTGTATTTCAGCACGATTAAAAATGGAGTCCTAGTCTTGGGTCCGTTTTTGCCGTTTTACAGCGGTTACAGCGGTTGGGTTCGGCAGGGTGACGCGCTCACTTTTTACCAACCATTTTATGCTGACTTTGATCGGCGGGCTGGTTTTGAGTTCGGAGTAATTTTGGTAAGGTGTTTTCTCGCAGAAACTTGCATTGCTGTTCATGTTTGAAGGCGTTCTTGCAAAATGGTATTTCGGGCTAAAAGTAAAGGTAGGCGAGAATTTTATTGCAGTTTTATTGCTAAGCCAGCGCCTCCCCCGACCCCCCTTGCCGCCTCTCCCAAATCTTCGGTCAGCTGCTAGATTTACAAACCGAGGTGCAGAGTCCCTACTCTTGACTTTTTCCCCCCTCAGGTTGGTTTTCAGCATTTTACACATGGAGCTTTGGAAAAAGCGGGAGGGTGGCTACAACTGGTTTTATACTTTGTGGCGGTTGTTTTGCATGGCTGCTGTCAGCAAAAGGTAGTCCCAGGAATCTCACTTTGTGTTTCAAAATGTCTTGATTCCTGTGTATTATTTAATGGAAACTTTTCCTTAGAAATATTAGCAATTAATTTCGCATCACTTTAGCTTTGCCAGACTGCTTTTATATGAGTATTACTCCAGAGAATCGTGGAGAATGCTTAGAATTTCCTTTTTTGCTTGTTTCTTTTTTTTTTATTTTTTCACTATTTGCTCCAAGTGAGTAAACAAGGAAAAAAATAACACCTAGCCAGAGTTAGGGAATTTCTAGAGCATTTTTGTTATGACTTTGGTCTGGTGATGTATTACGTGCGGCATCCACTTGCAGGTGGTGTCTCACACAGACACTCAGCTTTTGTTTAGTTTTTGGGGTGGGGAGAAACAGTGTTTCCTTTTTTTTTTTTTTTCCTCAAGCACAAGTGAAAGCAGAGGTGTGTTTATGGTGCGACTGTTCCCCTGGGGACAGTGCGGTGGTTGGTGTTCCTTGCGCAGATGCCACTGGAGGTGGTGCCAGTGAACACTGGTAGTGATCCAGCTTGTTAGCTGGACAGGGTATCAGTCTTCAGCTGTCAAGCTGTGTGTCCCAGGTGCCTTATGCATCCTTCCTCTCTGCTGACCAGCTTCCTCAGGAGTTGCGGCTGCCTTTTGAAGAGCTAACATGAGATGCTCCTTTATTCTTTCTGCTTCCATATGACGTCAGTGGTCAGAAACATCCTTGGCTCTTGTCAGATTTCCCCCCCTCCCCTTCCCTGCTCCTCTCACAACAGAGGTACAACACTGGCTTCAGCATTTGCTGGAAGTGCCTGGTCAGCACACCTCATCTTTGCTGCGACAGGATCATTGCATCTAGTCATATCTTTTATTTAGATAATCATAAAGGCTGGAGGAGTGGATGTGGTTGCTAGCATTATTTTATGTCGACTACTGCCCATCAGATTATCCTGAGCTGGATGTTTACTAAATTGTTTTCTCACTGATAAGTCCAAAGCTTTCAACAATTTCGGTTCAGGAGATGAAAAGAGAAACTGCTGCTGTCGTGCTGCAGAGCTGGGGGTCCGGCTCTTGTGTGCAAGGAAAAGATTAGATAATGATAATGGATTCCCCCAAGTCTTCAAAACCGATGAATTGGAAATGAAGCCATGTAGTAAAGCCAGGGCCTCGGGGGCAAGTATCCCATTACTAGAGTCGAGAGGTTTGTAAGAGTCTGTGCACTTGTGGTTGGTTACTTGATCACCAAACAGTTTATGGAGGAGGTGTCTGCTGCAGTGAGTTGTGAGGTTAATAGAGTTCTGCTGTATGCAGTCAGTCCTATTCATGGGAGCCTCTCTGGGTTGTGGATTAGGTGTGCTGGGCACAGGGAACTTCTTCACTGCTGCTTTTGGACCATTAAGCTCCATGCTGTGACTTGGGCTGCCTAGGATCACTGGTCCTGTGGGTCCCTCATCTCTGGGCTCACTCTTCTCTCCTGCATCGTCGCCATATGTTATTCTAGAGTAATTTGCATGTGTCTGATGTTACCACTCTCCTACTTCATCCTGGAAAAGTGGTAGATGATCATAATAACATAGCCTGTTTTCTTTCATGAATGTGACAAGACAGAAGTACGCAGAGATGAAAGCAGCAGATTTAATAATTGCAAAATTAAGACTGGCTGTTCAAACCTTGGCTTTGCATCATGGTTTCAGTAAGACAGGCTAATTATGCAGTCCCCTTAGGACCCTGCTTCACTCAGGGAAGGGATGGTGGTTCAGGTAATTTTTTTGAAGTCTTCACAGTTCATGATGTGGTCTGGGTATTGTTTCTGCCCTCATCCATTTGCCGTAATGAAACAGAATTTTTCATTTCCTTTGGGCTTCTCCGCGCAGCTCTGACTAACGGTGCCATGTAATACGGAACTGCTGTTACAGCACAGGTTTACAGTGGAAAGATGTTCCCTTTTACATTTAGACAAATTTAGTTTCAGTCCCTGCACAATTTTCCCTCCAGCTGTCATTCAAGTTTTGGCATGATGGTTGAGAAATGTGAGCTGATTTCTCCCCTGCCCCAAGAGGGCGTCTGCTTATGCTGTTTTTTTGGAGGTGTTTTAATTTTCGCATGTTCTGAGCTCAAACTGTGACTGAACATTCCTAGACTCCCACATGGGAATCAGGAAGGTGGAGAGCATAACCATTGACTAGATGTGGCAGCTTATCTCTGTCTTGCACTGGAGCTGTTGTGATAATGCTCACAAGGAGGATTCATGTTCTGTAGCTGTGTCTTTGTTTCATATCTTACCATCAGACCAAACAGGAATTCTGTATATGATAGATTAATCTTTCTTGACCAAAGAATGAGGGACAGGTCATGGAGAGGGAGGTATGTGGACTAGCTTAACAGTATCACAGTGCAGAGGGAAACTAAAATGCAGTGTCACAGACAGCCTCATTTCTTAGAATCCCTGCCTTCAGAATGGCTGAATGACGCTCTTAATAAATGTTCAGTCTTCTAGCTAATTTTCTGGTTTACTTTTCATCACCAAACTGGAAAGTCTGACCTGTCATCATCTAAAATTATACCAGCAGCTCCATGGGATTGAGCACTTGCCCCTGACTCCGGCGTTGTGGATTACCAGCGTTCCCAGTGGCAATAGTAGGTTATCTCCATCTGCAGGCATAAGTGAGTGTAAGAATGCAAGACATTTTGTGGTACTTTGAGCAGCAGAAGAGAAAAATCCAAAACGCTTACTTCAGATCTGAGGGGCTCTGAGTGGCAAATTCCTTTTCTGCTTCTGCCTTGCTGAGGCTGGGCTACAACTGTTTTATTTCTTTATTGTACAAACTCCTTGCACTGATTTCCACGTGTAGTTGTTTTTGACCCTAAAATTCTTTCTTCCATCCATTTTCTCTGCCTTATTTCCATTTTTGGCCTCATTGTGTCCAGGAGACCCCAGTCTTCTTCTTCCTCTTCTTGATGGTTGCTGTCTTAGCATCTTGCTTCACCCCTTGTCCTTGTAACTCTAGTATATCCAGCTTCGGTGCTGTAAGATGAGCAAAAAGGAGGAGCTGGCTCCCCTTATCTGTGCTTTTCCCCTTAAACATGGGGTTCATTAGAGCCAGCTAAGTTAAACTAAAAAATATGGCATAGCTATCTCTAAATCACTGTCCTACAATGCACTGCCCCCTGTTTTAAGACTATACTTTCTTCCCTCCAGCGGAAGTGAGCCCTTAAACTGCAGACATGGCAGAGCTGGCAAGTTGGTAGGTTGTCAGGTGGAGTGGCCAGAGGTCAGATTTGTACAGGATTCCTGGGCATGAGGGTCTCTGGGGGAGAAGAGGCTGTGGGGGAGCCAGTGGAGGTGGTTGCTGCAGGTCTCACTGGGGTGCAGTTTCCCAGGAGTGGAATTCCTGGCACGGCAGCTGAGGGGTTGTGCGAGCAGTGCCCACTGTGCTGGCTGGGCTCTCGACTTATCTGTAGTTAGCTGGATGTAAAATGGCCAGCAGTGCTTTTGCTCACTCCTCACCTGGGCTGCACAGATTTGTAAAACCGGGTTACTTTCAAATGAAAATGCTAATGTGGGACAAGTGTATGAAGAAGAAAATCAGTCAGTGCAACAGTCTGTGTTGAAAACTGTGACTGGCCAACAATTAAGATTTACTAAAAAGAAAAGGATGCTATTGTGGAGGTAGGATTGTTAAAGAAGGTCAAAAAATTTCTCAGTGCAATATTTAAAAATGTATTTTTAGAGCACAAATTGCTGTAGTATTTAGGCATGGATTAATATTTGCTATCAAATGTTCCCTGCTGCATATAACAATCAGTTCCAGTTTGGCACTCTAGTGATGTTCAGTATTGGCACCTTCTTGTTGCTTAACTTGAGGGAGTCCTATTGATATCAGTGAGACCACCTGGAAAATTAAGTTTCTGTTCTGTTGCAGTGAGTACAAAATTTAATACCTGTTAATTTTCTGAAGGGAAACCATTTTGCTTCATAATTCCATTGAGTTCTTCTAACTGCAGAAATCAGTTGAATGTGGATTTCAGTGTATCAATGCAAATTGGGTTCGAAAGGACTTTCACATTAGTTTTAGGATTTTTAAAACTATGCAATTACATGCTTTTG